TTTTTTCTGCTGATGTTAACAGAAGTCTCTCTGACCTTGGCCTGTGGAGGAAGCAGCAGATCCAAACGTAGGTGCAGGGTTAGCTTGCTGACCGAACACAGGGGCAGAATTGGATTTGGAGCCGAAGGCAGAAGCTGGGGAAGTGATGGCCGAGAATGAAGGTGCCGCTGACCCAAATGCAGGAGCACTGGGTTGAGACGCGCTTTGACCAAAGATGGGGGTCTGTCCAGATCCAAAGCCAGATGAAGGTGTGGCAGAACTGAAGACAAATGGGGAAGGGTTGCCAGGTGGAGCTGCAAGAGATCAGTGAAATTAGACACATTTGTACACAATGACATACAAAATATCAAAAGCACACAAGACAACAATGGGATATTTGGTGGCAAACTAACCGGAAGAGGCTGGGGTCGAGGACGCAGCAGCACCAAAAGTGAACGCAGGGGAGGATGAATTTGTGCCCGAGCCAAATTGGAAGGGTTGTGCTGGGGCAGGTGCAGCAGAAGGTGCCGCAGGAGGTTTCGGCTGGCTGTCCTGCGGCTGCTGTCCAAACATTAAAGTCTTTTCCATGGTATGTTCAGTGGAGGTACTCTGGCCAAATACAAAGGTACTTGAGGGAGCAGGTGTGGGAACCAGGGAAGAGGTAGTGGGAGTGCCGAAAAGGCTGGGGGTGGAGCTGGAGGAAGCTGGGGTGCTTGAAGAGTTGGCCATGAAGCCAAAAGTGGGCTTTAGAGTAGATGTGTCTGAAAAGCAGTCATACAGTCAAACTGAGGTACTACTACAACATGGTATAACTAAAGCCATAAGGAAATTAGAAAAGACTCACCTGTCATGCTCTGTCCAAAACTAAATGACGGTTTTGGGGGTTCTGCTGACTCTGCAGGTTTCCCAAATGTAAGTGTAGGATTGGGGAAATCTTTTGGAGGGTCCGGCTCGCCGAAAGAAAAGCTCAAGGTTGGTGCTGGCTTGTCAGCTTCCTTGGAAGCACCAAATAAGACCGCACCGGAGGGTGTGGAGGTGTCCTTTTTCTCTTCGGTTTTTCCAAAGGTGAAGGTGGACGTCACTAGCGTTTGCTCTTTCGCTGATGGCTCCCCAAACTTCGATGCAGAAGATTCAGCTACTAAAGACTTGCCAAAAATAGGAATGACATTCGCTGCCGTCGTTGTTGCGGTGGTTGAAACTGTTTCTGAGGGAGCAGGAGCATCATCTTTCTCAGCTTTGGACTGGGGCACAGAGAAACTAAAGGATGAATCTGAGCTTCTTTTCTCACTGGGTTTAGCTCCAAACAAAAATGCTGAACTTTCAGTGCCAGAAGCTTGAGAGCCAAAAGTGATTCCACTATCGCCACCAAATTTAAATCCTGTACTAGAATCCGGAGATTTAGTCTTTTTTTCAAGCAAGTCATCCATGGATCCACCAAATGTAAAGGCCTTTGACACGCTCTCTTTTGTTGCTGTGGATTCTGATGAGGCACTACCAAGTTTGACCCCACCAGAAGCTGCATCCGAGGATAAGCCTCCAAATTTGAAGCCCTCTGATTTTGAGGTTGAGTCGGAGGACCCAAATCCAAATTTAAATCCACCTGTGGTGGAAGTAGTATCTGAGAAAGTGCCTCCAAACTTCAATCCAGCAGAGGTTGAGTCCGTAGAGCCGGTACCAAACTTAAAACCGGATGAACTTGATTCTGTACTGTTGGACTGAATGCCAAAAGATGAACTAAAACCTGAAAAAGAAATGAGAATTCTGGTCATCAGCCTGCTTCTGCTAAACAGTAAGCAGCTGCTTCGAAGTCTCCTGACTTATGGAAATATCATTGCAAGGCACTTTACCTTTGGACTCTATTTTAGCTCCTGGTTTTGCTGACTGGCAGGCCACACACTGCTGGTCCTCTGCCTTATTCTGTACACAGCACACCTCACACTCCCAGCTCCCCTCAGGTTTCTTGAATTTGTCCCCGAATCCTAACAAAGGCGCAGCAGTGCTTGCAGGTGCAGAGACTGGAGTCGAGACCGCTGCAGCTACAGCTCCTGTAATAGACCAAGGAGTAAGACATGAGGTATGCAAATATTTTTTATTTGTGGGCATTCAAATGTTTTAACTCTTAATAACTGCAAAACTAAAACTTTACCAGGTTTAGAGCTCTGACAGGCTACACATTTCACATCCTGTGCCTTGTTTTGAACCATGCATACATCACAATCCCAAGACCCCTCTGGCTTCTTAAATCTGTCCCCAAATCCTAACAGTCCAGTTGCTGAAGAAGCAGTTGTTGTTGCTGTGGTGGTTGTAGAAGAGGTGGCAGAGAGGGTGGACGAGGCCTCAGAAAGAGCTGGTAAAGTCAGGCTGGATTTCACTCCAGTCCCAGGTTTGGCCGTGTCACAAGCAACACATTTAACTACATCCGGTTTGTTCCTGACCAAACATGTGTCACAGTCCCAGCTACCAGCTGGAGGAGCAAATAAGGAGCTGATGCTTGCAGGAGCTTCTGTGGGTTTACTGTCCGATTTAGAGGCAGAGTCTGTGTTGGGTTGCGGTGCAAGACAAGCCATACACATCTTGTCCGAGGACTTGTTTTGCAATAGGCAAGTGCCACAGCTCCATGACCCTGCAGGTGGCCTGAACTTGTCACCAAAACCAGAAAGAGGAGCCGAGGATGTTGATGCAGACGGCAAAGGTTTATAAACTGCGTTCTGAGCAGGGGATGCAAATCCTGAAAATAAGAAAAGGGTAAATGCATGCAAAAAACAATGACCTTCAAAACTTTACATGGAAAAATCAGGAAAAGCCAGTCGTACCAGGTCCCTTAAGTATATCCAATACACTGCCCTGTTTTAAGACCTTGGCAGGTTTGAAGGGTCCTTCAAACTCCTTTTCTTCACTGGCCACTGATTTGACTGCAAAACATACCGAATAGTAGTAAACACTAACTAAACTTCAAATGAAAACACATCTGCTTTGCAAATCAAACCTTACCTGGTGCTACCGTTGGAACAATTTTCCCATTGGAGTAAGAGAGGCCTGTCTTCATAGTAGGCGCACTGAAGGTGAATCCAGACTGCAGGAAAGAATCATTATTATTACATTTCCTTGTTTTGTATTAAACGTAAAAGCGTAAGAGAACAAAGGAGACCTACTGATGGAGAGAAAGATGGAGGACTGGCAGCTGTTGCCTTGACGATAGGTGACGAAAACGTGAAGGGGACAGATGGTGGTGTGGATGGTGCAGCTGGCTCCTGATAAACAAAAAAAAAATGGTGCATTACAAATACTCGTCCACCATAACTGCTATGAACCTCTGTCAGTTTGATAAGCCAAGACTACACCAGACAGAAGGCACAATTCTAAGGGGTCAGAGGAGAGGTAATACCTTATTTGCTGCCAGTACCTCAGAGGCAGTTGCAAATGGATTTGTGCTGGAGGTGAGAGATGAGGAGGGGGGAGGAGAGGAGAAATTAAATGTTGGCAAAGTGAAATTGCTGGGAAGAGAGGCAGGCGGCAGGTCTGGTTCCTCGGCAACCTGAAAGGAACAGTTTACATGAGCATCAAACCATTCCGTTGGACAGCTTCAAAATAAGTTCTACTCTACTCAAGTCTCTGACCTCATCGTCAGGTTTTTTGGATGAAGGTCTGATGGACCTTTCCCTCTTCATTTTGCCCCCTCTTGAACCAGCGCTACTGGCTGCTGGAGTGCTGGACAAGGGGTAGGACAAACTGCTTGTGCTGGGGACAAACAAATTGATGGACTGAGTACATATGCAAGTGAAGCCACTAACAGTTCTCCTTGTCCCATTCAAAAAGAAAAGAGAATTCTAAAACGATCACAACAAATTTATTCACTCTTACCTGGGAGAGGGAGCCTGGGCATGATCTGAAATTGGAGGGGATTGTCTTATCGGCTACAAAAGGCAGAGAAAACAAAACAAGTTAGTTCTCTGGAAGAGCTCAAAACGCAGACGCCATTGCTATAATCCACTTAATTACAGTGCTTGGCGTTTTTGTAGACCGTTTCAGCGTTAGGTGGACAATGTACCTTACTGTTCAAAAGTTTGGGCTGAGTAAGATTTTTTTTTTTTTTAATGTTTTTGAAAGAAGAGTCTTTATGCTCACCAAGGCTGAATTTCTTTTAAACCGTCAAAAAGTGCTTAATGCTTCTATGTAGGGCTGTGACGGTGGCAGATCTTGACCACCGCGGTGGTAATGGACCAACTACCGCCGGTGGCGCGGTGTTGATATATATAATTTTGAAACGCATAATAAATGAGACTCAATCCTCTTAACAAACATGCGTGTTTATTTTAGCACTTCCGTCAGTGAATACACAGCCTGCAAAACACTAAAATAAATATCAAAGAAATAATAGTTAAATAAGAAAGTAGCCTAAATTAGAAAGTTAAATACACCATCTACCGGATGCAAGTGGTGCAGCGCGACACAACACGACAAAATACTAGGCTATTGAACTCATAATAATCAGTGATGCTACACTGGATGCAGCGCGGCACGACATGACAAATCCCCGACAGTAAACTGCTTCGTCCTGTTTATGAGCTACTGACACAGAGTTCAAATGTCCTGTGTAGACAGACTCAACTTGTTGCAACACGGCGGTGTCGCGTCCGGTGTTAGCACGGTTCACTGTTTCGCCGCCAAGCAAGCAGGCACATTAACTCCTCATCTGCACGCGCTCTCTGTGAAATAGGAATCGTTGCCACATTTCTTGTTAACATCTTCCATTTATCGCCATCTCGTTTGTAAACGAGAAAGCCTCACCAAACCTGACCAGCCAGGCATTTGCGATCACAGGAACTTGAAGACACTTGTACAAACGTGGATGGGTGACATGAATGGAGATGGCTCCAGATCGGCGATGTAGTATTTGGTTTCCCAACAAGGTCCATCGCCCAACACAAAATTTATTTATTGAATGCATAAACTGTATTTTCCTGCACGCAAACCTGCCAATCTAAAGGAAATGCTATGTATGGCATTTGAGGTAATTTGTGAATTACCATAGACTTATAGTCTAAATAAAACAATTTGCAACTATTACTGTTATTACACTTGTATACAAAACTTCGTATTATGCTTGCTATAGAGTGCGTGACGTCACGTGCTCTACCGCCGGTGGCAGTAGACAACCGCGGTGACAACCAATCACCATCACACAGCCCTACTTCTCTATTAATTTCTGTAAAAAAAAATAAAATCTACAAAGACCCCCAAAATATATTCAGCTGAATTGCAAGCACTGGCAGTTCCTTCATTTTGTTTGATTTATTTATAAAAATAAATAAAGTAAATACCCACAGACATTTATCCCAACCAATTAAAAGATGTTATCCAAATATACCCCTCATTACAGTTGTTTTATAGTCATATGGTGAATTCTAATGCAGGATGCAGTGATAATGATTGAACTCACAGTGTCCCTGTTGTTTTTCTCCACTCCTCTGTTCACGCCACCTGGGGTAAGTGATGGTCTAAAGGATATTGAACGGTTACCAGACACTGCAGCAGCTGCAGGGACCACCAGCTTTTGCACAGGAGGGACTGACGGCTCCAGCTGTGTATTGAAGGAACAACATTACAAATAGAGCAGACAGTTCCCTACACCACTGCACAAAGGATATTAGGCTATCCATTTTCTGAGATATATATATATATATATATATATATATACACACACACACATATATACACACACACATACATACACAATATAATATGTTCCTGTGGCTCAGTGGTAGAGCATTATATATATACATTTGTAATTACCCATACAGGGATTTTATAATTCTACATCCATATTTTCAAGACCTCAGTACAAGTGGCAATCAACATGAAAAATTAATGGACATCAAAGGCATGAACACACCTGCTATGATTCATCAAGTGTGCTCACTTGAACTGCAAAACAACAATCTCACAGCCCTGGATATTTTGAACTATGGAAATCCGCCACAAATGGTTATTACAGGCTTTAGGTTTCTAGTGTTGGGTGAATAGGCACATTGTTTGGGATTAGTAGCCAGCTGCCACAGTTGTTTACAGTTAAAGACAAGCAGCAGAAGCAAAGTAAAAGTTGTCAATTTCACAAGATCAGGGGTTAAAGCAAAAAAAATTATTTTGACAATTTTTCCTCAGCCAAACCCCATTCCACAGCCATACCTGTCTCACACCCAGTTTAAGAGCTAATTTTTCTCTTGTAATTAGGAGCGCTTGTCCTCCTAATTAAAAAAATGTAGGAGCACCTTCTGATCAATAATAAAATTCTGATCAAAAATGATCCTTCCTAATATGAGGTGACATTTGACTCCTTAAAGTGACATTACCTTTGTAATGGCATCATCTGTCAAATTCAAAACGTTTTTTTTTTATTTCTATTTAAAACAATATAATAAGTAGAATAAGACAATCATATGAAATTAGTATTAATAAAAAAAATAATTTGTACTACAGAAGAACACAAAAGAGGCTTGTAGGTACATTTTCAGACATTTAATGAGGCTCAGAGGTGGCATGAGTGCAGTTAAATTCATACATTCATGTGGAGATTAATGTTTTAAATATCAAATTTTTATTACAGAAATATTAAATGATTTAAATAACTGAAATAATACGCTAACACTGAAACTAAATCGTAACTAATTTTATCACATAATCATTCATTTAATTGATTTGTTCAAACGGCTGATTCATTCAGGAATGAAGAAAGTGACCGTCTTTATGAATGGGTCATGAATCACTGACTCACTAGATTCGTTCAAAAACGCACTTTCATTGAATTAACTAAACACCACTGTGTTTGCTTTTAGAGATATGCAGCGGCTGAGCTGTTACTATATTTGGAACCATTTTCGTTGAAGAAATAGAGCAAAATCAGGCAGTAATTGTTTATTGAACTGTTGTATTAAATCAGTATCACATTTGCAATCTCCCTTAATTAACTATTAAAAGTTGTCAATCTCCTTATCGCGATCTGTGAGCGCACAGAAAATGAGAGCGCGCGAGTGAGTTCTCAAGACTCAAAAGCACGTGCAAATTATACGTTCCGTCATCTGTCATCGTGTTATAAGCGCGGAACCTGCGGGAATGAGTAGAATTGTTATTAACAGCCGCAATCCTGTGTTCAAGAAAAATTCAAGTTCTGCTCTGTGTTCTCTGCTAATAACCCGACTGTGAATGATGCGAGCTGCATCACTATGTTGTCACTGAGAAGCTGCAGCCGTGGCGGGGGGGATTTTTGGGCAGAACAACAACAATGCACTAAATGTTTCTTTTCCCCTCATTTTTTCCAATTGACGGAAATCCATCGTAGACTCGCTGCAATTAACGGAAATCCGTAATAGCGATGGAGAACTTTAATCCCTGCAAGATGTACTAAGGTACAGTAGTAAATTGTTTCTAAGCATGAAAAATATGTATGGATTTCTTTTTCTGCACATCCACGATAGACCCCGTTTTTATCTGACACTTCAAATTCTTAAATAGCTCTAGACTCACCCTTTTCCTCTTTGCCTGGAAATTTGAAACGTCAAGGTCTGTGTGATTCAGTGACTGAAAAAATAAAAAAAGTAAAGTTTAAAGACTGTATGGACTGAAAACTCAATTGAAGTGAATTTCAAAGTGTTGTAAAGTAAAAACTACTATGACAACGTACTTACAGCTGACAGAGGTGATGAAACTGTAGACGGAATTCTTTTTGCATCCTGTAAAGTTACCAAAACATGTTTTTAATGAAATGCTTACTTTTGTTGCTTTTCCCACATCTAAGGGAACTATTTGTATAGCAACCGTTTATTTTACAGAAACATTTGTTCAATTTTAAACTCTTTCTTCTATAGGCTTAGTAACACTGAAATGTTTTATTTGATTTTTACACCATAGCAGATAGCACAGACCGTAAACTCACAGCAAGAGGACTGGACATGCGCTCCAGGGACTGTAGGATGCGTCTCGCTGTGGCACTGGTCACTCCACAGGGTTGAGCTCCAGCTGGCTTTGCCTTTATCTGTCTCCTAACGGGAGGCTGAGCAACCACAGACCAGATTTTAAAATCTTATACGAGTATAAAATTTAATATGAAATAATAGTACTGGCCTATGAAATAAGAGTCAATAATTGGCATGATTGTTCAGACCTGGTAAGGAGTAGCTGGGCGTGAACGAGCTGTTCTCATCGCAGCAGCTCCTCCATATGTGGTCTTCCCTGGGTAGAAGGGTGAATCCCCCAACTGACTGGAGTTTAGCACTGAACTGCTCAACACTGACTATAAGAGAACAAACATGCCTAGCATTAATCTCCATTTCAGTAAAGTGAGCAGTCATTAGTCATCTGACAAGACAACTTGGACATTAAAAGGAACCTTAAAAGAACACTGATTACTCATTGTTCATTTTCCAAATTATACACTACTGTTCAAAAGATTTGTTAAAAAAAAAAAGTATATTTTGCTCATCAAGCCTGCATTTATTTGATTAAAAACAAAGTAAAAGCAGTAACATTGTGAAATATTACATATTAATATAACATTACCAGTTTTCAATGTCACGTGATATGCTGATTTGATATCAAAGATGGAAACGGTAACAGTTGTGCTGCTTAATATTTTTGTTATTTAATTTTAAATAACACTCACGACCAAATTTATTGCATTATAGTATTTTTGTAGTAGTAATTAAAAAATTTAAATAAAATAAATTAATAATAAATCTTACTGACCCAAACGTTTGTATATTAGTAATCAAAGAAGACTGGTGGTGGTGCTTAAGATATTGTTGGCCATTCAGTGTTTCTATAAAAATAAAAAAAGAGGGGAAAAAACCTAACAATAATACTGATAAGATAATAATAAAAATAATACTTCGAATTCTACTAATAACAATATAAAACGCACTAAGGATTAATGAGCTGCTAGGTTCATGAATATTAATCACGTTGCCAGTGTTCACACTAGAGTTTACAGTGCGTCAAAAACAGGTACGCTGCGCATCCATTGAGATGAACTGTACTCTCTCAACTGTTTACATTCACTTTAGACATAACCAACTGTGGGTTTTTTTTATGTAACCTTGTGTGTTTTTGACAGTATTAGCACAATCAAACAAAATCATATCGCACAGAGAAGGACAACAATATAGGCCTATTGCCATATCGATATTTTGTCCCACCCCTATATAAAAAGTTCAGTCCATGTTGTCCTCTCACATAAAAATTCACTAACATTTGTTTAGAACGCTTTTGGACTGTTATCACTTGTAAATGGTGATTGATCTGGGCATCTCTCCATTTTTTTTTTTAAAAACAACAAAAAAAAACTCACAGATCCCTTGATGGAGAGTGAAACTCTGAAGCGCTCAGTCTGAGAGTGTGTTGGGCGAGTAAAAATATATCTGTGCTTAAATTATACTTAGCCTCCAACTCACACACTGGCGAGTAAAATCTAAGAATTTATTAGCCAATGGCTAATGTTAGACATAATTTAGTCACTCAGAGTGAAGGTTTAGTCACATATGCGAGTGATTTACTCGCATTGTAGAGGATTGGACCTACTTACTGATGAGGAAGTGCCAAAAACTGACAGGTTGAAGGCTGGTTTTTTCAGCCCAGAGTGGGCTGTCTGCGATCCAGTGTGGGTGCGTTCTGTCTCTGGAGACCAGAGGAGCGGCATAGTCTTCGATATGGGCACATCTGGAAGAAGATTAAGCTCTGTGCTTAGTTCTATCTATACCTAGTTTAAGACTCCAATGAAACTTGACAATTCAAATGCCTAGCAACAAAACTTGTCTATTGGTTTCTGCTCAGAAATGTGGTTGCTCACCTTTATCAGACGCACGTGACGAAAAGCCACTGGTAGTCGAGATATTGTCATCCTCATGCTGAGAACTGGAGTCCTTAATCTCTTTCACCAGGGAGAAGTTGGAGGTTACAGCGAAAGGGCTCCCTGAGAAGGGTGCTGTGGACGTGGAGGGCTGGGAGAAGAGGGAGCTTGTGCCACCTAATGCAGGGGAACCATCCAGGGAGGGGAAGTGCAGGTGGGTCCGATTGAGCGGAGGTCTCGAAAGAGCTTCCTGGAAGTTCAGTGACGCTCTACTTGTAGATGGTTCTAAAAAAGGAATTCAGCATTTCAAGTCAAGAATGCAAGCAGCGTTTAAAATAGCCACCTACACAGTTCTCTAGGTTTTGGAAACTCATCTACTCCTTGGATGGTCTGAAGGCGAGCACATTTTCAGCAAATTTTAATTTTTGTGTGAACCATGCCTTTCAGCAACAAGACTAACACTTTTACATCAACTTTTTCTGCCTCAACCAGTTGCTCATTCCAATGATAAATCAAAAGGTAATTCTTTGTTTTATTTTTAATCCTAAACCTTTTGGATTTGAACAGCTGATACAAATGTTAAGAGCTTCAAGGTAGAGACCTGCGCAGCACGGATTTTTCAGTCCCGCTCCTGCAAGATTCTGTCCCGTGCCCGCAGAAATATATCTTATCTTGTCCCGCTCCAACTGATTGGCCATTGCATTCCATAAATCAACAGTTGAGTCTGTGATTGGCTACATTGCGCAACCCTTTAAACACGTGTTATAAATAGAAACTATACCTAGCTTACGCATGTCAATCATTTTAATGTTAATATTAGTTGTTCTTTTTGCTTTTGTACACAAGATAAATAATTTATATGTTTTAGACACTTTATGTTTACATTATTTCTATTTTGCAGGAGTCCCACGAATCAGTTTATTCTCCTGCATCCCACACACACACGATTCTCTTCCCGCCCGCGTCCATCAAGAGTTGTCCCGCACCGCACCCTGTTGCGTTGGATCCCGCGATACTCCCATGGGAGTGCAGGTCTCTACTTTAAGGATTAGTTCACTACCAGAGTTAAATTTTCCTGACAATATACTCACCCACATGTCATCCAAGAAGTTCATGTCTTTCTTTGGTCGTAACACCTGTGCATATCTGCCAGACAGCACCTACTCATCATACCTGTGTTACTTGTGCTCGGCTCTGGAGAGTCTCGTCCATCTGGGAGCGGGGTGACTTCGTCACTGCCATTAGGGGGAGGAGCCACGTTGTTCCGGTCCACCCCGACTGCACCTGTATCACCCTCTGGAACGTCTCCATTTTTGAAGTATTTCTGCAGCCAGGAGGGGACTATGCTCTTCACTGTATCTGTCACTCGACTGATAAGGCCAGGCTGCTGCAGGAGCCAAAGGGACAAAATTAGCATATCCAGCAGCAACAAAAGACCAAGAGCAATACCTTAAATCTCATTAATAAAAACAAATCCATTACTAAGGCAATTAAACTGTTGTTTCTGGCAAAAATACAAATCCATAATCTATAATAATGCTCAATCCCCTATAATTAGGGGTGGATTTCACAGGGAACCTCACGATACCGATAATATCACGATACAGCAATTCTGAGATAATCAATATATATTGCTAGACAATCCTATAATGATACATAACGATATCGGTCTATGAAAACAAAATGCCTATGAAACACAGTTCTCTAGGTTTTGGAAAAACACCTGTGCATATCTGCCAGACAGCACCTACTCATCATACCTGTGTTACTTGTGCTCGGCTCTGGAGAGTCTCGTCCATCTGGGAGCGGGGTAACTTCGTCACTGCCATTAGGGGGAGGAGCCACGTTGTTCCGGTCCACCCCGACTGCACCTGTATCACCCTCTGGAACGTCTCCATTTTTGAAGTATTTCTGCAGCCAGGAGGGGACTATGCTCTTCACTGTATCTGTCACTCGACTGATAAGGCCAGGCTGCTGCAGGAGCCAAAGGGACAAAATTAGCATATCCAGCAGCAACAAAAGACCAAGAGCAATACCTTAAATCTCATTAATAAAAACAAATCCATTACTAAGGCAATTAAACTGTTGTTTCTGGCAAAAATACAAATCCATAATCTATAATAATGCTCCATCCCCTATAATTAGGGGTGGATTTCACAGGGAACCTCACGATACCGATAATATCACGATACAGCAATTCTGAGCATCTTTAACTTTGATTCATTAGTTGCCATACTGACGAATCAGTGTGGCCCCCAAGGCTAGAGAGGGTCTGGATTTGAGAGCTTCAGTTGTCATCTAAAAGGGGCCCTGGGGACCAAATCACTGTGCAAGCACTACAGGCTTATTGTTCTCTAACTGAGCTCCAGGGTTTGGACACAGCAACACCACAGATCAGCTCTTTGGCTGGACACAGTAAGCATGTGACCCTCAGACAGGTGGGAAAGCTAAATAGTCCATTTGGCCTCAGCAGAAGAGCTGGGAGACATTGCGCAATCAAAATGGAAGGCCTTTAATGCTTATAGACACTTGTGATTTAAATACAGGCCAGAGCAAGAGCGTAATTCATCTTCCTGCCTTACTCTGAAATCAAGAAGACTGCATAAAGTATAAACAACATGAACATGCTGCACGCACTCGGCATACGAATCCAGCTGTGTTCACGGCTGGGGCCTCATGCATGAGCTCAGGGTTGCAACATAAGTCACTTCCTGTCAACAGTGCACACATGGCGCCACCCAAAGTCAGCAAGGCCAATCAATACTACCAAAAATGTGTGGGAGAGCAGAGTTTCATAAAGTGTACAGGAAAAACAATGACTTAAAGGGGTCATAGGATGCCCATTTTCCACAAGTTGATATGATTCTTTAGGGTCTTAATGAAAAGTCTGTAACAAAGTTTGGTTAAAATTTCTCAATGGTAGTGTAAAAAAAAACATTTTTTACCCTGTCAAAAACAGCTCTTTTCAGGGCATGCAGATTTATAGCATTTTCCTTTAAGTGTTAATGAGCTCTGCTGACCCCGCCCCTCTTCCGAGCCACTCTCAGAGAGACTGTTTACTTTAGTTGCATTCATCGTGAAACTTGCTAATTAGCACATTATTAGGAAAGGCGATTTGCAAAGATTTGTTAAAAAAACCTTACACTCACTTCTTCTGTAGGTGAAGCTGGATCACGAATGATTTGCGCGAACAGACAATTCAAATGCCTAGCAACAAAACTTGTCTATTGGTTTCTGCTCAGAAATGTGGTTGCTCACCTTTATCAGATGCACGCGATGAAAAGCCACTGGTAGTCGAGATGTTGTCATCCTCATGCTGAGAGCTGGAGTCCTTAATCTCTTTCACCAGGGAGAAGTTGGAGGTTACAGCGAAAGGGCTCCCTGAGAAGGGTGCTGTGGACGTGGAGGGCTGGGAGAAGAGGGAGCTTGTGCCACCTAATGCAGGGGAACCATCCAGGGAGGGGAAGTGCAGGTGGGTCCGATTGAGCGGAGGTCTCGAAAGAGCTTCCTGGAAGTTCAGTGACGCTCTACTTGTAGATGGTTCTAAAAAAGGAATTCAGCATTTCAAGTCAAGAATGCAAGCAGCGTTTAAAATAGCCACCTACACAGTTCTCTAGGTTTTGGAAAAACACCTGTGCATATCTGCCAGACAGCACCTACTCATCATACCTGTGTTACTTGTGCTCGGCTCTGGAGAGTCTCGTCCATCTGGGAGCGGGGTAACTTCGTCACTGCCATTAGGGGGAGGAGCCACGTTGTTCCGGTCCACCCCGACTGCACCTGTATCACCCTCTGGAACGTCTCCATTTTTGAAGTATTTCTGCAGCCAGGAGGGGACTATGCTCTTCACTGTATCTGTCACTCGACTGATCAGGCCAGGCTGCTGCAGGAGCCAAAGGGACAAAATTAGCATATCCAGCAGCAACAAAAGACCAAGAGCAATACCTTAAATCTCATTAATAAAAACAAATCCATTACTAAGGCAATTAAACTGTTGTTTCTGGCAAAAATACAAATCCATAATCTATAATAATGCTCAATCCCCTATAATTAGGGGTGGATTTCACAGGGAACCTCACGATACCGATAATATCACGATACAGCAATTCTGAGATAATCAATATATATTGCTAGACAATCCTATAATGATACATAACGATATCGGTCTATGAAAACAAAATGCCTATGAAAAGGTTAAGGGCAGGTTCTCGCTCTTCATTCAAGTCCAAACTGCTGAAAATTCTGCAAAAATTTAAATTGTCATCATTTACTCACTGTCAAGTTGTTTTAAACCTGAACGAGTTAATTTCTTCTGTTAAACATAAAAGTTATTTTGAAGAATGTGGGTAACCAAACAGTTGCTGTTCCCCAGTGACTTTCATAGTATTTATTTTCCTTCAATCAAAGTTAATGTGGACCTGCAACTGTTTGGTTACCCAAAATTTATTCTAAGACAGACATTAATACAGGTTTGGGACTACATGAGAGTGAGTAAATGACAGAATAAATTTTTGGGTGAACTACCCCTTTAATGACAAGCAGCAGCATGTTTAGTACAATTAGTCTACGGTCACTTTAAGAGCTGCACGTATCTAATATAAAGGCATGCAGCCGTTTTTCTCTCAACTGTTTACATTCACTTTAGACATAACCAACTGTTTTTTTTTTTATGTAACCTTGTGTGTTTTTGACAGTATTAGCACAATCAAACAAAATCATATCGCACAGAGAAGGACAACAATATAGGCCTATTGCCATATCGATATTTTGTCCCACCCCTATATAAAAAGTCCAGTCCATGTTGTCCTCTCACATAAAAATTCACTAACATTTGTTTAGAATGCTTTTGGACTGTTATCACTTGTAAATGGTGATTGATCTGGGCATCTCTCTCCTGATTCAGACAAGATGACTTTCACTTGAAAAGGAATGTGTTACGAATACAGGGCTCATATTTTAGCCAGAAGCAACGGTTTGAAGTAAAAAAAAAAATAAAAAAAAACATCTTGATGGATTTGTTTTACAAGCACACCGCTTTACATGCGACAAGACCCTTAATTGATGGACTGGAGACGTGCATCTTGATGGATTTGTTTTACACGCACACCGCTTTACATGCGACAAGACCCTTAATTGATGGACTGGAGACGTGGATTATGATGTTTTTATCGGCCATTTGAACTCTCATTCTAACAGCACCCATTCACTGCAGAGGATTTATAGATGAGTAAGTGATGTAATGCTAAATTTCTCCAAATCTATTCTGATGAAGAAACAAACTCATCTACTCCTTGGATGCTCTGAAGGCGAGCACATTTTCAGCAAATTTAAATTTTTGTGTGAACCATGCCTTTCAGCAACAAGACTTTAACACTTTTACATCAACTTTTTCTGCCTAAAACACTGGGTGGATTTTTATCATTTTAGAGTGGTTGTGTACACACACTGCCAACACACATTTCAGTTCAAACTCTGAAGGCGAGCACATTTTCAGCAAATTTAAATTTTTGTGTGAACCATGCCTTTCAGCAACAAGACTTTAACACTTTTACATCAACTTTTTCTGCCTCAACCAGTTGCTCATTCCAATGATAAATCAAAAGGTAATTCTTTGTTTTATTTTTAATCCTAAACCTTTTGGATTTGAACAGCTGATACAAATGTTAAGAGCTTCAAGGTAGAGACCTGCGCAGCATGCCCCCTTTAAGTTCAACCACACTTTATACTCCACACTATGACACCATCTAATCTAGTAAACACATCTGCAAGCTCAACTATCTCTGCACAGTGTAAAAATGCACATGTGTAACTGACACGACACACTTTGGAAAAGTTGTGATGTGATGATATACTTTACTGAAATGGCTTAAGCCCCGTTCACACCAAGAACGACAACTATAAAGATAACGATAAAGTTATAGTTCTAAAAATCGTTCTCCATATTATAGAATAGCAGTCCACACCACAACTATAACGATAAAGACAAAGAGAAACGATATACCTAGCTTACGCATGTCAATCATTTTAATGTTAATATTAGTTGTTCTTTTTGCTTTTGTACACAAGATAAATAATTTATGTTTTAGACACTTTATGTTTACATTATTTCTATTTTGCAGGAGTCCCACGAATCAGTTTATTCTCCCGCATCCCGCACACACACGATTCTCTTCCCGCCCGCGTCCATCAAGAGTTGTCCCGCACCGCACCCTGTTGCGTTGGATCCCGCGATACTCCCACGGGAGTGCAGGTCTCTACTTTAAGGATTAGTTCACTACCAGAGTTAAATTTTCCTGACAATATACTCACCCACATGTCATCGCGCTTAGAATAAACAGACGATATCGTTTGCTGGGGTGGACGGATAATATCGTTATCTTTATAGTTATCGTTCTTGGTGTGAACGGGGCTTTAGACAGCATTTTTTAATCAATACTATACATGCAGTTTTATTACCTCATTTTAAGTGAGGTGCAGCATAGATTTGCACATAAAAACGCCACATTATAGGAGTATTTAAAATGAAAGGTGAAATGCTTAAAGTCCCCCTGTAGTCATATTTTATCCCTTAAAACTTATCTTTGATCATCAAAATTACATATTTAAATGTTTTTTCTAGTGAAAATAAATTCTCGCCTTAAAATAGCTTGAATGTAACTACACCCTTGCCTCATTTACTATACACGGATCTATGAATATGTAAATTAGTCCCGCCTCCACTCAGTCACATCAGCCAGCACCTCCTGATCCACTGAACTATAGTAACACGGATAATGACTGATAAAACTATGTTTTTACTAGCGGACAACTACAGTGAATACTGTAACACTCGTTAAAGATACTTAGTAACATTCGTTAAAGATACTTACTTGACGATGTTGTGTCCTAAAATGCCTCGAAGACTTGAATGCAGCCGTTGTGTTAATTCGTCCAATATATGGAGAAAAATCCTGGAATATTTTCCTCAAAAACCTTGATTTTTTTTTCAACTGAAGAAAGAAAGACATGAACATCTTGGATGACATAGGGGTGAGTAAATTATCAGGACTCGTTAAAGATACTTAGTAACATTCGTTAAAGATACTTACTTGACGATGTTGTGTCCTAAAATGCCTCGAAGACTTGAATGCAGCCGTTGTGTTAATTCGCACCCACGAGCATACGCGTGTGAAGTCCGGGCTACTTTTACACTGTTGCCACGGGTTATAATGCAAGTTAGCGGTTCTAAATTCACATTAAACCACAGCTTCATGGGTTTTTTGCTCGGATTTATTTTTGGTTTTGTGCTGGTATTTGTATATTTTACATCCTAGTGATAGGAATCGATCCCTTGACGTGATTGGTTATTGGTTTGTGACGTAGCAAACCAAGGGCTGTTTCAAACCATATTTCTGGGTCAGCCTTTGGGAAACTACAGTTTTAAGGAGAAAATACACAGCAATGGTGTTGATTAATAGATTGGCACATGGTTTGTCTAAAAGCATATTAAAAACACCACAGACAAATAAACACAAAAAACTTGATTTTCACTACAGGGGGACTTTAAAAGAAATTATCAAATACAGCATCTAGAGTATACATTTTCCCTTAAAACATTTTAAGATAATTTTTGGAGAAAAAAAGGGCGGTCCAAGTGTGTGCAGTTTATGCAATGCCAGCGAGGGGGAAAACTAGGTGCAATGATGCGCATTGAAAATATGTATATGTAGTGTCAACAGAAAATATGGGCATTTCCATGATTTTTAAGTTGCTAAACATTTCAAATGCAAATGCAATACAAAAGAACAGAGACTTCCCTGTTCTTTACTAATTCCACTTTCTATGGCATAACAGTTTTAGTCACTACATGAGATCAGAATAGACAAACAACTCTGCCACATTTTGACACCTCAAAAAACATTAGTTTAGAATTAGAGACCAATGTTTTTAACTAGGCCTGTCGCAATAATCAATATATCGACTTATCGCGCAATATATGTACATGACCTCAATCATTTTTGGTGACGCAATATATCACCTATTATATTTACTTAATTATTGTCACCGTGTTTTTTACATTCCACTTGTGCCTGCGTCTTTTGCAGTTTCTCATACATAATTTGGTGTGGTCATGAAGTGCTAGTTCAAATTTTAAAAATGCTTCAACAAAAAAAAGTTTAATCTGCAGATATGGCTTTGTTTAGGGATCTGTGCCTTTGTGCATACGGACATCTGACTGCTAAGTAGGGATTGTGTTTTTCAGCAATAGTGTGCACCCTTAATTTACAGAGAAAAGAAGGTCAGGGAAAAATCTCCATACAAGTTCTTTGTGCATTTTTCTTTTTTTGTACTTGTTACTTTGCACTTTTTGTTAGAAAATGTTTATTTACTATTTATTCAAGTTTAAGGTATCTAATATTTTGATAATTTCCATGATCAAAATATTCTTAAAAATGTTAAGTTTGTTGTCATTTGGAAGTGTGTAGGGCCTTCTTGCATTATTATGCTGTTACATTATGATTATATATTCATTGGCATAAAACGGTCTTTAAAATTACAATAATATCACTTATCGCAATTACTTCTGGGGCAATATATCGCACAACAAAAAGCTGTTATCGTGACAGGCCTATTTTTAACCGCCAATACAAATAATTTTTTATGTATATAATAACCAATATGCAGAACCAGCTTCATTTGGTTTTTTGACAGAAAAACGGTCTAATCTTTAGACTAAAAATAAAAATATATGATTTGACTACTTTAACAAATTATGATTAACCGTTTACCAAATATACAGATCTCAGTTAAAAAAAATACAATATTTCTATTTACATAAGTTCTACTTAATTTTCCTAAAACACACAGGTCTTATCACGCAAACATATATAAATATTGCTAGTTATTAGTCAAATATAGGCTAGCTTATGATTTAAGATAATTAAAGGACTAATTAAAATGTCTGTACATAGAACATGGAATGCCATAAATCCATTAACGTGCGTTAGTCATTGCACTATTTCTCTTTTCATAAAGCAGCATGTGAGTGTTTCCAGCTAACGAACAGATCGCTCTGAAAACACGCCACGACACGCACTCATCCCGCCTTTCTTCATGATGATAAACCTAGTGCGTTAACTACCTGTGCTTTCCGTATTTATGCAGAACATGTACCAGACTCGCCAGTCATATCCAACTGATCTTCAACCAAGTTTAAGACTTAGACATGAAATATAAGAAAACATTGCCAAAAGTGCTGTGAAGCTCAGGTAACCCACATGTGGACCCTCTGAGTGGCGCAAAAGATGGGAGACGTGAGCTTCGGAGTATAAAGAGCATTTTATTCAGAGGGTAATAACATTAAAATGCTGTTATTTATATTCAAATGTAAGTATTCTTGTATGACGCCGGTGCGAGCCGCAGCTAACGGCTAACGGGTTGTGTTTTGAAACGCGTTCACGCGATTGTCTGAAATTATTCAAAAACATTAAAATTTCACCTCTCTGACGCCATATTTTGAGTATTTTCCTCACTTAACGGCTACCTCTCTTCAGTCAAATGAGTTAGCGGTATTGCGGTGACAAGTGTTGAGACCGTGTGCTGGAAGAACGTGAACAGGCCTGAAACAGGCCTCAAAACGTCTCCCGCTTTACAAATACAAAACCCGCTGGCAAAACACCGGTGCGCTTTAAGCCAAGAACCGCTAAAATCCTTGCCGTGGCGACTAGGGTTTCGTTTTATTTACCTGTTTGCCTTTGGCATAAGGTTTTGAAGCGATGTGGTATCTTCTTGATCTGATTTTCCCTCCTCCTGTCGCCGCCATGGCTAACTAGATTGCGTCTGCTCAGTAGCGCTTCGCCGGATAGCGCTCCGCTGTCACAGCGCAGCCCTCCAATATACCATCAGCCACTTCGGCGTTGGGGTTTATGGGAAATGTAGTTCGGAAAGCATGCTTTCGGTACTGACGTCAGTTTGTAGGCCAACCGGCCGTGGAATTCAGATTGGTGGTTATGAGTGAAATAAGGCCTGTGGCAAACATTACGTGAAGATAATTTAATGTTGTGTTCTAGAAGATAAACTACACAGTCAGTAGCTCAAACATGAATCTGAATTTAATCACAGACTTTATTTTACTCATAATAATATAATAATAGTACCATTAATTACACTTATTTATTTAATGGCATGTTGGATAAATTATAAAGGAGGGAGATATGTGTTCTGAAATGTATAGGCCTATATCAAAACTTTATATCAGATTCATGACCGTAACCAATGATTCATTAAAGCAGCACTATGTACCTTTTTCTGTGTTCAAAATTGGCAAAATGTATATAATGAGCGAGTACATCATGAATTCGTCTTCCAAACAGCGTTTTTGTCTTATTCCGAATCACTACAGTACACTTATAAGAAGTACTTATATTTGGACTATTGTAGCCTGGTCGGGTCGTCACCGCTGCGGAGTAACACAAGTAGCTCCGGTGGGAATGTTCTTCCGCGGGATGTGTGCAGTTCTGTTTATTAGCCGGTAGAGCGCCAAAAGTTACATAGTGCTGCTTTAAATATTTAGTGAACCAGACTCCCATGTGCTCCTGGTTCAACATCCTTTTTTGTCCTGGAATAACCAATCAGATTTAAATACTGATTGTACTTTTTCTAGACGTTTACAGTAAGGTAAACAAAACAATATCACTGCAAAGTTCGTAAAAAAGCACATATACAGGTATAAATACATTCCTGCCTACAAAAACAGCACAAAATCCTAAATGTAGGCAGTGTTGGGGAAAGTTACTTTTAAAAGTAATGCATCATAATATTGCATTACTCCATAAAAAAGTAACTAATTACGTTACTTAGTTCATTTTTTATGGAAAGTAATGCGTTACGTTACTTTTTAAATCTGGACAGGGCTTGCTTGTTTGTTTTTAAAATAAAAAAGTTATATTTTTGGCAAATATAAAAGCCTTTTCACACCAAAAGTTAAATGAATAAGCCTCAGGCTGAAGGGAAAGTAAATGTACGTCCATACAGTAGAATGCGGAAGAAGAAATTTCAACACACTTCAAAACACACGAATGTTTGTCTAGAGTAATTTTTGCTTATTAGTATGGTTGAACTGGATCATCGAAGGTCAGAAGTAAAAACATTAGTTAATAGAATGGGATTAAATACATAAAGGATGTTTGTGTTGTTTAACATTTAATTATTGCAGGTTTGCGTCATATTCTGAGTTGCATTATTTTTATGCATTTTGAGGAATACTGAACCTGTGTGTTTTTATTTTTGTGAGTGAGATGAATTATTGCATATTCATATTTATTATTTCTCTCAACATGGGGACTTACTTGAAAAAGTAACTCAGATATTCTCTTGTAAATGAAAAAGTAATGCGTTACTTTACTAGTTACTTGAAAAAAGTAATCTGATTACGTAACTTGTACTTGTAATATATTACCCCCAACACTGAATGTAGGTTTTGCAAAAATTACAGCGATTTCAAAAAACTGCATATAGAAATGCATTGTCATTTAAAGGCCTCACACAGAAAACATTATGGGACTAAAATCATGTATGCACATGCCCACATCCTCACACAGGTATAAATCTTACCACAAAAGTTAACATACAAAGCAATAACTATAAAAGTATAGAAAAAAATGACACCACATGTTGACACAACATTATGTCATTATTTCTAAACAACCTTTACATGTAGCCAAAAAAGCTGAATCATATTACATTTAAGTAAATCAACAGCTCTTAATGCAAAAGGTCACAACCTGCCTCTCCTTCAACCACCCTGCAGTATTCATTTAAAAGAGCAAATATAAGAAGACTGAAAAACTGTAAATGTTGTGATAATGGAACAGCTGTGCCAAGATCATACTACATTAAAACAAGTGCTTAAAGGATTTTCAAAAAAGGAGAGCTCACTTTTAAGCTCACAATGAAATGATGCATAACATTTCTTACCCTGATCAATGCATAGGTATGTGTCAACAAAACATTCACTGATTAAAGGGCAAGTGGAGAAAAATGTGCAACATTTAAGACAGGGCTTGGTCTGCATTAACAATACTGGTAATAAGAAATAATCAGAGCTGAATAACGCTCCCATCATGTTTTACAGAAAGCCTGGCAGCATTGAGCTCATTTCATTAGGAGGGCCATCGCAAACATTCACTGGCTCAGACGCTTCCGACATTCCTAAATATGAAAGCCACATCAGTGCCACTGGAAAGTGTGCATTGTGTCATTTCCCGTAATCCTGGCATACCACAAATCATTGTTTCCTTCCAAGTGCTATGAAAATAAAAACTAGTGTATATAGTAAAGACAGAGGCTTGTGGTTTGGAATGTGTCCTGTTTATAGAACCACTTCTTGTGTCTGCACACTATAACCCAGCTAACCACTTAACTTCTCTTCAACAGCTTATGACATATTCTTTCTTTCCCCCCTTGTGGTCCATTGAGAGATCATCAGTCTCTAGCTGTGGTCACTTCTTGCCGCTTGTTCCATTGATTGTTTTGTTTTTTTCCAGAGCCTCCTTTTCTTCTCCGTGATGAAGTGGAATTACTACTGGAGTTCTTCTCTGCTAATAGTAGTAATTATGTAATAATATATACGTTTTGGTGTTAAATTCAGATTAAATGATATTCGAGGGGTAAATAAATAAGGATGTTCTTTATATGGTCTTAATATTATAGTACAATTATTTTATTTTAATTTTAATCTATAGGGTAGAAAATGTAAATACTGAAAGGAAATTCCCTGTCATAAATCTGAGCATAGTGTGAGAAATCTCCTTAAAACATTCAACTTCTAGATATTTAATGTCATTTGAGAAACCCTCTAAAACCAATCAGATTGTATGTTACCTTTGGCAGTTTCAAGAATGTGGTCATACGTGTCAATAAGGGTGCTGTCGTCACAGTCTGCAATGTTCTGTCAATGTTAAGAGATTTATCAGTGTATCAATATTTGATATGCAAGTACAGCACAAACCAGGATAAAACAACAAAGACTCACACCTGAGCAAATTATTAACACCTCATTGTGACTTTCTCTGTGCTCTCTGCTCGGGATGATTCTAATGTAAATGCTGTCAGATTGTGAATGACCAGTGGACAGCACTAGATTTATATTCTTGTTGAAGAATCCACAGTATTTAATTAAGGATCTTAGTATCTCTCAGTATATCAAGTTATTGTAACAGATGAATAAATACGGTCCTTTACCTTCAGTCTCTTCCCATAATTCTGCTCATACCAAATCATTCCATACAGACAGAGAAAAGTAATGAAAGCCTGGAAGGTGGCAAGAGAGAGAGAGAACGTGTGCATGAGACTTCACCACACATACAGTGGGATTCAAAATTCTGAAAATTAATTTCAGAATGTCTTAGTATCTGGTTTATTTCGCTTGCACATGATCAAGTCATTTGCTTTTTTTTTTTTATTAGTGAAGGACTAAATAATGAAGAATTGTAAATGCCATACAACATTTCTGTACTGTTTTCAATTAGATTTTGAATGTGGTTTCAGACTTTTGGATCCCACTGTATTTAGTTTATAGAAACACACAGGGTCCAATCTGTAAACACTCAGTGTAAACTACAGATGTATAAACGAACATAATAAACTGTTGCATCATAGCCACAGTACAGCAACATAGCCGATATTTGTTAAGGTTTCACTATCTGTTAAGGAAAACAGTAAACACATCTCTAAAACTAAACTTCATTTTAAAAGATAATAATATAAAAATATAAATAGATAAATACTTATGTATAAATTCATATAAATATATAACAATAGTAATACTACTTTTAAACAATATTTATAAATGAAGGAAATTTCAACCAAAACACTCACCAAACACAAAAGCCAAAGAACAACATAAGGAACCTGTGTTTTAGAGAACAAGTCTTGTCCAAATTTGATACAAGCCAGAGCTTCCAGGAAAGCAACGGCCCTAAAAGGAAGAACAGAAGCACACTCATAAATGCAACACCCCGGAAAGTATTAGGACACTTAAACCACACTTAAAATGTCTTTTTTTGTTTTGTTTATATAAATAAGCCAACAAACTTTCAAGCAAAAGCTTTCACAATTTTTTTAAATAAATATTTAAATGCCAGAACAACATATATGCTGTTGAAAATTATGATAAAAAAATTTATATTTATGTCTGATATTTAGTCATCTATAGCAGTGTTTCCCAACCTTTTTTTTAGTCGCGGCACCCTTTGGAAACCGAGGTGTTCCCTTAAGCGTTGCTGCAAAGTTCTTAGTAGCCATTTCACCTTAATAAATGTAAGGGACCAAAACAGCTCCCTCAAGTCATCTTAAACTCAGTATCTACAGGATTTTTAAACTCAAATGTAAGTCTTAAGATATTTTTTAAGACCTCCACAAATAAAATATTATATGAGCACAGTAGGACAATGACTATGGTAACATATTAAACTGTAAAATGACTGTAAAAAGCATGACTTACAAGTTTTCACAAAACAAAAAGTTTTATATAAAGAAAATTGATGAGTTGTATCAATGATTATATTAATTTAAACAATTATTATTAATCAATTATTACATTAATTAAATAACAATATAAATGTAATGCATGTCTTAATTGTTTAGATTTTTATAATGCATTATCTTCTTGTCAATCCACCTGTTCACATTTACAACCCTGCGTGTTTGCAGCGTCAATTTTCACATTTGGTCAATTTTCCATCATGTGGTCAGAAACTACTGTGAAACGCTTAGTATAAACACTTAGGTAAGGGTGACAATTAAGACGTTTGTTGCAACGCTCCCAAAGAAATCCCTTACCTCAGGGAATTTTTTCCCCTCAGGGATACTCCTAAGTCAAATTACTT